AGGGAGAGAGACAGAAACACCAATGATGAGAGAGAGTCACGGATTGGCCGCCTCCTGCACGCCCCTCACTGGGATTTAGCCCGCAACCCGGGCATGCAAACAGGTGGCCTCACTCAACCACTGTGCCACCACTGAGCCACACCCGGCCAGGCTATACTGGTAACTTCTGACTGAATGTCAGACATTGTGGATTTTACCTTGCTAAGTGTTGGAAAGTGTTCTTCCTGTGACTCTGACCCAGCTCTGTTATGGGATGCATCACAGTTACCAGGAAACTTTCAGACTCCGTCTTAGTACGACCAAGACAGTGATGGCGAACCTATGACACGCGTGTCAGAGGTGACACACGAACTCATTGTTTTGGTTGATTTTTCTTTGTTAAATGGCATTTAAATATATAAAATAAATATCAAAAATATGTCTTTGTTTTAGTATGGTTGCAAATATCAAAAAATTTCTACATGTGACACGGCACCAGAGTTAAGTTAGGGTTTTTCAAAATGCTGACACGCCGAGCTCAAAAGGTTCACCATCACTGGACTAAGAGGTGGGTCCAGAGCAGTGCCCAGCTCAGGGCTGACCCCCAAGGCAAGACCGTCCTGCATCCCCTACCCCGTCCCTCGCAAACCCCGACGTTTCCAGTCCAGCCGTGGAGACAGGCAGAGCCCAGCCCCGTGTGAGACGGGCCCTGCTCCCTCCGGCCTGCCAGACGGCTCTTCCCCTAGCTCTGAGTTCCCTCGCGTGCATGCACTGAATACCTTTTCTTTTAAATTGATTTTAGAGAGAGGAAGGGAGGGAGAAACATCAATGTGAGCGAGAAACACTGGCTGCTTCCTGCATGTGCCCCAACAGGGGATCAAACCCGCAACCTGGGCCTGTGCCCTGACCAGGAACTGAACCGGCCACCTTCCCGGGTAAGAGACGATGCTCCAACCCACTGAGCCACACGGCCAGGGTGGAAGACCTCTGTGTACTCCAGGGAGGCCTCTGCCGATCTCTCCTCTCCTGCGCTGTGTCCTGTGAACTCGGGCTGCCCTGGCCTCCCCTCCCAGCTCCCCGGCCCATGCAGGGAGCCCCCCGAGCCCACCTCAGCTCCCGCTAGACCTACGCCGCAGCCGGGACTCTCCAGGGCAATGAGCTGGGCAAACGTGGGCCCGTCTAGCTTGTTTCTCATCTCTCAGGGATGACTCGCCATTTTTTATTTTATTTTATTTTTTTTGTTTTTTTTTTTTTTTTGAGAGAGTCGAAGAGAGAGGGAAAGACAGAGAGAAACATCGATGTGAGAGAAACACATCGATTGGTTGCTTCCTGCAGGCGCCCTGACCAGGGCCAGGGAGAAGCCTGCAACTGAGGTACGTGCCCTTGACCGGAATCGAACCCGGGACCCTTCGATCCACAGGCCGACACTCTATTCACTGGGCGAAACTCGCCAGGGTGACTCACCATCTTTTAAAAAATATTTTCTTATTGGATTTATTGGGTCTCTATTGGTTAATGAAATTGCAGAGGTTTCAAGTGTTCAATTCTATACGACGTCATCAGTATAGGGCAGTCATGGTGAACCTTTTGAGCTCGGCGTGTCAGCATTTTGAAAAACCCTAACTTAACTCTGGTGCCGTGTCACATAGAGAAATTTTTTGATATTTGCAACCATAGTAAAACAAAGACTTATATTTTTGATATTTGTTTTATATATTTAAATGCCATTTAACAAAGAAAAATCAACCAAAAAAAATGAGTTCGCGTGTCACCTCTGACACACGTGTCATAGGTTCGCCATCACTGGTCTAGGGTATGGTGTGCTCACCACCCAAAGTCTCGTCCCCACCATGTATCTCCTCTCCCGCCCCCTCTTCCCCCTGGAATCCGTTTTCAAGGGGAATAACCTTGCTGACTGACACTCACCCTCTTGAAAACGGGTTGTCCGTTGTGCGTTTCTGTTGTGTGTTTGTGTTGTGTGTGTGCAGCGACTGCAGGTGGAGGGAAATCCGGTTCGAAGAATCAGATTCCTCACTCTCACCGCTTTCTCACGCATTTCAGAGCCTCCTCCTCCTGACACCCCCCGCCCCCCGCACACCTCCGTCCACCTGCACGCTGATGGGGCACCTCTCCCCATAGAAACAATGCCCTGAGCACCACCTTCTCTGCTCTGTCCACCTTCTCGAAAGGGGGATCTAGGTGCGATGCTGGCCAAGGGGCCGGAGAGTGAGGACAGTCCTGCCTTGTCCCTGCCGCTTGCTCACCACCCATCCTGCCTCAGGCTCATTCCCACGCTGACCCTCTCCTGACGCTTCTACCCTCCGTCACTCATGGCCACACCGTCCCCATGTAAAACGGCCTCTCATCCCTCAGACTCTGTACGTTCACCTCTGGCCCTGAGCCTCCTGTTCGTATTGACGTGCCCAGCCGTCCAGCCTGCCCGGTTACACTCCCGTCCAACTCAGGCGCCAGCGTGGGTGCTGCCAAGGGCGGTGACATGGCCCATGTTGTTCACTGGCACAAACTCCGCGCCCGCACCAGGGGCAGCCACACAACAGGCACCTGATAAATGCAGAGAACGAACAGACAACCTCCCGCCTCCCCTGGCAACGCCTTGTCCGTCAGCTCCTCCCGTCAGCTCCTCCCGTCAGCTCTGTGCTCCCCGCCCGCCCGGGTCCCCCCTGTCCTCTCTCCCTCACACCCCCCTTTCCCGCTTCGGTCAGAGCGCGAGAGGAGGCATCTGGGAGGACGGCAGCGCCAGGTGGGCCCCGGACACCTGGCCGGGCCAGGTTCAGGGTCAACCTTGCAGATGCTTCCCCGAGCGAGACCTCCTCGTGGCACTGGAAATGACCACCGAGAGGGACAGCGGGCCCAGTGCCAGGTCCCTTACGCCCTCACATCTGCTC